GGAGGGCAGTGGAGGATGGCCCAAGTGCTTGGGCCCCTGTACCAGCATAGGAGACCAGGAGAAAGCACCTGGCTCCTGGCTTCCAATCGGCGCAGCGCTGGCCGTAGCGGCCATTTGGGGAGTGAACCAATGGAAGGAAGACCTTTCTCTCTGTCTCTCTCACTGTCTATAACTCTACCTATCAAATTAAATATATATATATGTGTATATATATATTTTTTTAAAGATTTTATTTATTTGAGAGGTAGAGTTACAGACAGTGAGAGGAAGACAAAGGCTTTCCACCCTCTGGTTCACTCCCCAAATGGCCACAATGGCCAGAGCTAAGCTGATCCAAAGCCAGGAGCCAAGAGCTTCTTCTCAGTCTCCCACATGAGTGCTGTGGCCCAAGTGCTTGGGCTATCTTCCACTGCTTTCCCAGGCCACAGCAGAGCTGGATTGGAAGTGGAGCAGCCCCTCTGTGCTTGAATATACAAGTGTCTGTATGTGTCCCTCCTTGTGATTCTTTCGTGTCTATTCTCAGAAGAGGAATTCCTATGTTATATGGTAATTCCATCTGTAATTTTTAGATGCATCATGATTATGTTTTTCACACCAATTACAGCATATTACATTTTTCTAGCAATGCACAGTGGTTCCAATTAATTATCATTCTTGCTAACATTTTTTTGTTATTTTGATAATATTGAGACTAATGACTGGGAAGTAGTTTTGTTTTACATTTCCCTGTTTATTAGCACTAATTCTGATTTCTTGAAGAAATGTCTATTCAGGTCCTTTACCAATTTTTAAATTTATTTTTGGTGTTTCCAAGTTGTAGGAGTTCTCTCTATAGCCTCTATGTTAATCTCTTATCAGATATGTGATCGTAAATGCTGTCATTCTGTGTTAGCCAATTCACTTTTGATTATGTCATTGATATATGATTTTTTTTTTGTTTAAGTTTTGAAGTCCAACGTGTCTGTATGTTTCCTTTGTTGTCTTGCTTTTGGTGATTGTTTAAATTAATATTTAAATTAAATGTAATAAAGTTTCCTTCAATGTACCAAAAAAAAAAAAAAAAAAGTGGAGCAGCCGGGACTGGCACCTATAACGGGATGCCAGCACTGCAGGTAGATATTAACCTACTGCATCACTTCACAGGCCCAACTTTAAATAATTTAAAAAAATAAAAAATCTCATACTTACTGGCTTGGCATTTATAACATTATCCCAATCTATCTTTTATTTATTTCATCTACTTGAAAGGCAGAACAGAGAGACAGAAAAACAGTCTTCTATCTGCTGGCTCATTCCTCAAATCTACCACCTCCCAATCTAGCTTTTATTTATTTTTTTCCTTTGATTGTTTTTAAAGATTTATTTATTTATTTGAAAGGCACAGTTACAGAGAGGCAGAGGCAGAGAGAGAGACAGAGAGGTCTTCCATCCGATGGTTCACTCCCCAAATGGCCTCCCAAAATGGCCGCAATAGCCGGAGCTGTGCCTATCCGAAGCCAGGAGCCAGGAGCTTCTTCCGGGTCTCCCACGTGGGTGCAGGGGCCCAAGGACACCTTCTACTGCTTTCCCAGGCCATAGCAGGGAGTTGGATCAGAAGTGGAGCAGCCGGGTCTCGAACTAGCACCCATATGGGATGCTGGCGCTTCAAGCCAGGGCGTTAACCCACTGTGCCACAGTGCTGGCCCCCCAGTCTACCTTTTAAATTCCTTCTAGGGATCAGTGCAGTGGCATAGCAGGTTGGTTAAGCCTCTACCTGCAGTGCCAGCATCCCATATGGGTGCCGGTTCAATTCTCGACTGTTCCACTTCTGATCCAGCTCCCTGCTGATGCGCCTGGGAAAGCAGTGGAAGATGGCCCAAGCTCTTGGGCCCCTACACCCATGTGGGAGACCCAGAAGAAGCTCCTGGTTTGGACTGGCCCAGCTCTGACTGTTGTGGCCATTTGGGGAGAGAACCAGTGGATGGAAGATCTCTCTCTGTCTCTCCCTCTATAATTTTGCCTCTCAAATAAATAAATAAAATCTTTTCCTAAAAACTGATTCTGAGTATTCTCGAATATGAAACACTTCCCTCTAGTTAGATTAGTCTACCATTTCTCCTTTATTTTTTATTAATTTTTTGACATGCAGAGTGGACAGTGAGAGAGACAGAGACAGAGAGAAAGGTCTTCCTTTGCCGTTGGTTCACCCTCCAATGGCTGCCGTGGCCAGCGTGCTGTGGCTGGTGCACCACGCTGATCCGATGGCAGGAGCCAAGTACTTATCCTGGTCTCCCATGAGGTGCAGGGCCCAAGCACTTGGGCCATCCTCCATTGCACTCCCTGGCCACAGCAGAGAGCTGGCCTGGAAGAGGGGCAACCGGGACAGAATCTGGCGCCCCGACCGGACTAGAACCTGGTGTGCTGGCGCCGCAGGGGGGTAAAGCCATTTAGGCGGCGGCGAGGCTTTAATTCCTACATTAAAAAATATTACATCCAGGCGCGGGGCCCGGGGCTCCTTTAGCATAATCCTCCCCCAAAGGGCCGCCAACCAGGTTATTTACCGGTCGGGGCGCCCGGATTCTGTCCTGATTGCCCCTCTTCCAGGCCAGCCCTCTGCTGTGGCCAGGGAGTGCAGTGGAGGATGGTCCAGGTGCTTGGGCCCTGCACCCCATGGGGAGACCAGGAAAAGAACCTGGCTCCTGGCTCCTGCCATCGGATCAGCGCGGTGCGCCGGCCGCAGCGCGCCGGCCGCGGCGGCCATTGGAGGGTGAACCAACGGCAAAAGGAAGACCTTTCTCTCTGTCTCTCTCTCTCACTGTCCACTCTGCCTGTCAAAAAAAAAAAAAAAAAAAAATTACATTCACTGTAGGTGTTGTGGTACCGTGGATTAAGCCATCACTTGGGATTCCATGCTGGAGTAATAATTCAAACAAGTCCTCGCTGCTCTGCTTATGATTCAGCTTTTGCTGATGCAACCTGGGAGGCAGCATATGATGGCTCAAGTGCTTGGGCCCCTGCCACCCAAAAGGGAGACGTGGATAGAGTTCTGGGCTCCTGGCTTCAGCCTGACCCAGCCCTGGCTCTTGTGGGCACTTGGAGAATGAACCCATAGATGGAAGATCTGTCTCTTTCAAATAAATAAAAAAAAATTATATAAAAAAAAAAATCTGTATTTTGAAGGGCTAGCATTGTGGCATAGCAGGTTAAGCCACAGCCTCCAACACCAGCATCCCACATGGATGCTAGTTCAATTCCCAGCTGCTCTACTTCCAATCTAGCTCCCTGTTAATGTGCCTGGGAAAGCAGCAGCAGATGACCCAAGTGCTTGGGCCCCTGTACCCACGTGTGAGACTTATCTGAAGCTCCTGGCTCCTGGCTTCGGCCTGGCCTGGTTCAGCCCTAGCCATTGCAGCTACTTGGGGGGTAAACTGGTGAATGAAAGATTTCTCTTTCTCTCTCTCTCTCTCTAATTCTGACCTTCAAATAAATAAATAGATCTTTTTAAGAAAAAATAATTTTTTTGGCTGCTTTTTATTTGAGAAGAAATACTGACCATTTATAGAAGAGTTTTTCTAGGATGGGTAGTTAAGTCACTACTTGGGATATCCATATCCCATACCAGAGTACCTTGTTTAAGTCCCTGCTTTTTTGCTTCCAATTTAGCTTCCTGTTAATGCAAACCCTGGGAGGCAGCAGGTGATGGGTACTTGGGTCCCTGCCACCCACTCAGGAGACCTGGACTGAGTTCCCAAAACCTGGCTTTGTCCTGGCTGTCACAGGCATTTAGAGAGTAAACCAGAGGATGAGAGATTTTTCTCTGCCATTCAAAAAGATAGAGGTGCTTTCCTTTCTCTCCCAGCTTTACAAGTAGGGAGAAGAAGATTGCTAAGAGTAAGAAAAGAGGTCCCTAAAGAACTAATAACTCCACAGTTAGATAGTATTAATTAAAAAGTTTCTAAAAGTTTTCCTCTAGGTCCAAGACTCAGATGAAGAAACACTCTTATATTGAGCAAACTAGGACCTTAAAATTAGACTCAAGGGTCCTCCAAATGTCCTAGCCTTTCAGGAAATTTCTCTCCCACCATTCAATAGCTCCTAAAAAATCTATTTTCATAAAGAAATTCTGTATTAGTTGTAACAGCTGGAAACTTCAAGACATTCGATACACTGATAAGGGCAGATACTACTTATGATTTAGCCAAAAGGCTGAGAAGCGATAACACATTCTAAAAATACTGAATATAGAAGGGTGGAAGGGACTCCACTAACAATAATGACTCAGAACACTTGTAATTTATCTACCTGTTGCTCACATGCCCTGAAATACACTGTCTTAGACGGTGTATCTTAGCTTTCTTTATGGACTTCTGCTTGAGACACTATGCAAAATAAAATGCTTATTGTGTATTATAGCGTGAAAACGTTAACTGTTGAACCTGAACCAATCACACATACCAGGTTAGAGCTCTGAATATTATACTCTACACTGCCTTACACAGCATTTAGCACAACTGATTAACCATGTAATTAAGTAACATCCATCTCCTCACTGGACTTTAAGTTTCCCTGGACAGACTTATCTTTTTCTCTGATATATTCCTGGAATCTAGCACATACCTGGTATAAAATATGCACTCAATAAAAATCTGCTGAATGAATTAAGAAACTGCAGCCCTGATGCCTAATTTGGGAAGATGACAGAATGTCATCACATAATATATACAACTCATGAAGAGATCAAAGAGAGTTGTGACTGTTGCTAAACAGAGTTTGAAGAGGTTGAAGAAGTAGGATGAGAATCATATCACTTCACCAAATATTGAGAAGGTAACAACACAGATAGGTGAAAGCAGATTTCAAAAAAGGATATAATTTCCATGAAAAACAAATGACAAATTATCAATGCCACAGAATTTCCCTGGAACTTTCATGGAGGCTTAGCATGAAAGGAGGCCTAACTACCTCCCCCCACCAACTACGCAGGATTGACAAAACAGCGCAGTGGGGAGGGAGATACGTACTGGGCGAATGTCTGCTGAGTTCCAGCTCTGGTCTCTCCAAGCTGCTCTGAAAGTCAGGAGGCAGCAGGGAAGCCACTCCCTCAGGATGGATCATCTCGTCCTCCGACTCAGCTGAAGCTTCTGCAAAGTATAGATTGGGTCGGGGCAGGGAGGGAGTGAAGGGCTCAGCACATGGGAATATGCAGAGGCACGAAGGAAATCGGGCACAGTCACAGACAGACACACACTAAAAAGAGCACCGTATATAAAGAACAAACTCCCTAGAATTAAGCTCTGCCTCATCTAACTGGCAGCTTCATTTACTTATAATGTTTCCTGTTGGCAGGAATCCTGTTCCAACAAGACAGTCAAATTAAGTGTCCTCTTTCCTGACAAAAGCAAATAGGAACTCACTTGGCACCATAAACTAACAACAAATAAGTGGTAGTCTTAGCCTGATTTATTCCTAAAATTGCCTAGTGAGGTCTCTCTACTTGGTGACTGGGAAAGAATATAGAAGTTCGCCTTAGCAGTGACGATCTGGGCTTACCTTCAAGTTCTGCAGCTTCTCGAGCTTCACGTTCCAGACGCTGCCTAAGTAGCTCCTGCTGCTTTTCCAGATACTGCTTTATGAAACTGTTCTGGCTCATTTCCTCGCCAATCTATGTAGAATAAATGGGAAAAGGTCTAGGAAGGCAAACCAGGAATACACCAGAAAGAAAATTCTATGGAGCAAAGCTCTACTCCCTTATAGCTGGACCCAAGAAAGAAAACCAAAATGCTGGAAGGTCCTTTTCTAAACTAATCCTATAGTGAGGACCAAAATAAATAGCCTTGTGAGTCATAAAAGTGAAGAACTGCACATAACTTTTAAATTAAAATTTTAAATTAAAAATCACAACCAAAGATGTTGCTGTACAAATAACTTAAAAAAGAAATAAAACTCCTGTAATTACGCCTTCTTTATACTTTATTTATATTTCTTTATACTTTATTTATATTTTTAGCTAATATAGAACATTATCTAAAGCTAATCTGAAGTCTCCTTTCAGTCACAGTACAACTGAAAGGACAAAAAAATTGGCAACTCCTCCAAAATGTCCATCTCCACCAATGCAGGAAACATTCTGTCAAACATCTCCAAAATCCAAGCACAGTGTTTAAAAATAAAATCAAGAGACTAAGAAATGAGATATCCACTCTGCATTTAGACAGAGTATAACTCGATTTCTTTGGATGAAAAGTAACCCTTGCTAACAGTATTTAAAATCCAGAAGCTTTGACTTTTTCCTTTTCTCCCTCTGTAACACAGGTCCCATTTCATCTTCTGCCCTCCAACTTTCTCTTTACAAGTCCTCCCCAGAATCATCTTATTATGTTCTACTGGAGGGCCAGAAAAAGGAAAACAAATTCTGAATAAATACTTTCCAGATTATTGTATTTCCTAAGCATATTAACTGCTTGTTTTCACCTATGGTAGAAATGGGTCTCTGGGTACTCAATGGACAGTGAAGAGGCACAGGTTACATGTTTTAGAGAATATGCAAGTTTGCTGTAAATCATGAACTGATTAACTTATGCAGTCCCTTATCCTTGTTAAAGTACACAGCTAAACCTCTGAACATTGGTTAGATTATACTAACAGCTTAATAAGGTGATAACAAGGGAACAGGAAGGCTCTCTTGTTCTCCACAGTATCCTGGGACTTCATCTGGTAATGTTTCTGCACATCACTGCATTAATAAAGACCTGGGTTTTTTCCCTAAGAGCATGGCACACTATACTGAGGAGATTCTAAAACGTAAAAGGAACCTTAGGAGATTGTGCAGGCTAAGAAACGTTTTTAACTGCAAAATGATTTCTTAAAAAGAAATCTCATGCAGAACTCATGAAGTAGATAACATATCTAATCTAGTTTAAGAGGGAGTAGGAATCTTGCTTACTTGGAAAGAAGGTATCTATCTTTCCTAGGAAGCCCCCCAAAGCCCAGCTGAGCAGTTATAAAACTATGGATCTAGTTCAACATCTTCTCATTACAGATAAGGAAACTGAGGAAACCAAGGCCTCCAAAACCTGTTTCTTGTTTGAAGTAACAGAGCTATTAGTGATGTTTAAATGTAATCACACAGAGTTGGCAGATAACACTAATAATAGTGCATGATTTACAAAAGATTGCATTCTTGGTGGAAAAAAAGCTGTCAAAGAATTCCTGATGAGCAAGTATTTTCCCACACTGCCCTATTGGTGAGCTACTTCGTATCTCCACTCAAAAACATCAACGACTTTTCCCAAATCAACGGCAAATAAATGACTTCTAGTTCTCAGTGACACTTAATCAGAGTGACATTTTTCTGCGAGGATCAGGAATTAACTAACAGTTCCTTTGATTCTATTCTTTACAGGTCCTTGTGCAAAACTGGGCTTGGCTAGAACTCAACTGTCCTAGTACGAGAACATTTCCAACCAAGGGACCTTAGAAAAATATTGGTAAGGACTTAAGCATCAAATGTAGAACACTATGGCCCTCCTTCCATGTGTCTGTACCTCCAAACAAGCCCACTCCAGCTACCAAACCTTTCTTACCTGGGAATTTGGCTGGAATGCAGCATGGGGTGTTGAGTGTTTCTGTAAATTTTCTAGCATTAGAGCCTGGTATGGAGAAGTGCAAAAGTCAGAAACCAGGTGAAAACAACAACACAAAACCGCTACCCCTCCCACAACCTCTTCATTTAATGTGATGCCTTAAATACACACTTAAACTGCGCTCCTTTTCCAGGAACCTAAAAGCTCTTTACCAATACTGTTCTCATTCATCCTCAGAAGCCCTTCAAAGGTAGCCATGGTTACTGCTCCTAAATGCACAGATGTAAAATGCAGGCCCACAGACTCAGAGATCTGGCCATGTCATAAAAATCAGTGACAGTGACAGAAGCAATACTACAATCCTTATTACCCTCTGCACATTTGGTGCCTCTTCTAAATCTAGCAGTGCAGGTAAAAATGACTTCAAATGCTCAACACCAGCTTCAAATACATGAAACCAACACCGGGTGCTCGGTTTGGCTTAACTGAGTTACTTGGTCAAACTGTTGCCCAAGACTAGATCTACTTGAATGAACCTGTATAATTTCTGGCAGAGACACTGAGACTTATCAAATTTATAAAACCTGTCAAAGAGGCCACATGAGAAAATGAATACAGACCCTGAAAATTGTGCTTTGCCCTAATCCACACCCCCCACACAAAACGGCCAGCTTCTGGATAAGCAATGGTCTGCCAATTCAACCCTCGGGCCAACCCAGCCCGACTCTGTACTACCTGCCACGTATCCTAATCAACTCTAATTAAAAGCGACACATCCTCCCCTTCCTCCGTTCACACCAAGCCCATACACACCACTTCGTCCAGCTCAAGACAAACCCACCCTAACCTGCTCAAGCCGATCCAATGTAAACCTCACCTCTCCCACCAAACTCTTATCCACCCAAATTGCTTCTGGATTCCCTGCAGACACCACTGTCTCACCACGTCCCTTCAAATCAAGGCTTCTCTTCATCTCACCTCCCTATCTACCAGGGCAGACATTTTATCCTACCCCAACCCTGCTCCAGCAGATCCCGGGATCAACCCCATCCTCCCCTCCACCCAACTATACCCCTAACTCCGACCCAACCCAACTCGCCCCCGTCAGGCCAGCAACGCCGGTGGTTGTAGTGGGATTTAACTCCTTCTGCAGCGCATGCGCCGAAACCACAGACACAAACAAGGAGGGGGTGGGGGAAGGAGGAAGGAGCTTAAGACACTCCGGGAGAGTAGCGCGCACCCTCCCATTTTGGGCTCGCGCTGCTGCCGTTAAGGCGGGAACGGGCGCGATCTCCGTTCCAGCTCGAGCCTCACCAACCACCGTGCGCGCGGGGTTGGAAGCTCGCGCTGGCGGCCTGAGAGCTCGCGCCGAGCCCGGACACTGCGCCTGCGCCGCGGCAGAGACTCGTCTCTACCGGGTCCGCTCCCCTCCGACACCCCGGGATCACCGACTCCTCACCCCTTTGAGCCGCTTGACCAGGGCACTCTTCTGCCCGCTCTTGGCTAGGCCTCGCTGCTCCAGTGCGGCCTTCAGGTCGGTCACCCGCAGCGCCTGAAGAGGCTTCCCGTCCAGAGTCACCTCCTCCAGCTCCGCCATCTTGCGTGAGGTACTCGGGTCCGTCCCGACGGCTTCGGGCATCTTCGGTAATTTCCGCCAACGCCCTTCGAACGTACCGACCTGGCCCCGCCCATTACCATAGTCTACGCCTCGATTACCACTCAGAACTCCCCGAGTCTTTCCGGAACTGCTCGGGTGTTTCCGCCTTCACATCGCCGCCAATTGGTTCTTTCCGTTAGTCCTGCCGCTACCCCTCCCTCGGCTTGCTTTCAGGCTCGGTTATCTCCGTCTTGCCGAAGCTTTCAATCGAATGTATTCGGAAGCCCTCGACGCTAGCATAACCGTAATCGGAGATACTCGGCTATCTCCGGACCTGGAGCCGGGGCGCTGAGGCGCTTGGGTGTTTGGGGTTGGTCCCGTACCGGAAGTGCGTGGGCTGCCCGGCTGGCCCTATTCAGGATTTTCAGGAAACATGGAAGCCGCGGCGGTAGCCAGCGTCTAAGGACTCGTGTGACTATCTCCGGGGAGCCTTTGCAAGGAAACAGGAGGTAAGCTAGGCAGAGGTCTCTCTCTCGGCCGGGTTAGACTGCGTGTTTGCGGGCAATTTTAGTGGGAAAAGCCTCGCTTCTTTACGGAAGCGGCTGCCGCCCCCAACCCCCTGAGTCCCTGCCACTCTGGCGAAAGGGTACGTTACTGTTTTGGGGCATCGGAATCGCGGGCTCCCGTGGCCTCAAGACAGTATTGTGTCTTTCGACCCAGACTCTGAACGGATTCCTCCTGAGACTGAACTTGAGCTTGCCGTGGAAGCCGTGTGGCCAGACTCATGAAATGTTCTCCCTTTCCCGGAATGATAATAAAAAGTTGTTTTCGGAGGAACTACTTGTGGGGCCACTGGGATAAAGGCAAACGCCCGGAATTGTTTTGGCGTTGGAATTGATGTGAATTACGTAGAGGTTCCTTTCTCTGCCACTGCAAACTTTCCAGCTTGTAGCAGAAGAAATACAAACAGTAAGATTTTCAATAGACAAACAGTTGAAGGTTTTCACTGGTAAGAGTCAAGCTGGGACTGAAAACTAAGATTGGCTGACTTCTCAGTTGCTCTTATGATGCAAAAAAAGTCTAGGCATCAAAGGTATCACACTAAACATTAAGGAAAATTGTTTATAGGATATGAATTGTCATACAACAATACTCCTATGCATAGATTCCAGATTTTTTTTTTTGCGCGCGCGAAAATAAACTTACCTTTTAGTTTCATTTTCCATGGACTTTTTGGTGTGTTCTTGCCTGTTAGATCTCTAAGCCAACAAACCAGCAGGACTGTATTTTCAGGGTCTTGACTAAACACTCGGCTTCTCCTTTCTCATGGTTTTCTTTTTTTGTTAAGTGGGGCAAGACCCTTGGTCTGCTCTTACACTTTTTCCTGGTGCTGTAATTACACAAAGTATGAGGAGGTAACGGATGTTACGAAGTTTTTCTGACATATTTTAGCAGCTTTGCATGCTTTGCAAAGAAGGCTCTTTTGTTATATATGATGATTTTGTGTGTGTGATTGTTCATAGCTCTGGAATGATTAGGATCTAGCCCCGAGCTAGCTTCATGTACTAAATTAAGAAGTATGTACTTTTTCATTTTAGAGATGTATTGGAGCAGCATTACTTGTTTGCTTGCTTTTTGTTTTCTTTACCCAACCTGGAACATAGAAGTAGGAGGGAAAGAATAAGCAAAAAATATGTTGGTTATTTTTAGATTCTTTAAAAGAAACAGGGAGGGAGGCAGTGGTTGGGAAAGGTCATGGGTTTGAAGAAGAGTGGAAGGCTGGTAAATATGAGGATACTCTTGGTAACTTCTCTAAGGTTTTCAGATAATAATGTAAATAAAAGACTTAGTTTTCTTGTAAATTAAATTGACTAAAAGTAATTTTCTCTAACTGCTGATTGATAAGGTTCCTCATTGCTGGGAAGTTGTGGTCTGGTTGCTTTGTCTAGAGAGAGTATAATAGTACTTTTATGTTTCAGGATGCCACTGGAATCACCCTCCTCTTCGATGCCACTATCCTTCCCGTCTCCCTTGCCCTCAGTACCAGATGACATTACAGGCTCTTCCCCTCCCCCAATGTCTTACATCACTTCCCAGGAGATGAAGTGTATTCTTCACTGGTTTGCCAGTTGGTCAGGTCCCCAGCGTGAGCGTTTCCTGCAGGACCTTGTAGCTAAGGCAGTACCAGGAAAATTACAGCCATTGCTCGATGGTCTGGAGCAGCTTAGTGTTTCTGGTGCAAACCGACCGCCTTGTATCTTTGAGTGCCAGCTGCGTCTTTGGGATCAGTGGTTCCGAGGCTGGGCTGAGCAGGAACGCAACGAATTTGTCAGGCAGCTGGAGATCAGCGAGCCAGACTTTGTGGCAAAGTTCTACCAAGCAGTGGCTGCTACCGCTGGGAAGGACTGATGGGCATTCAGATCAAAGAAGATAACCACAGCTAATGGAGCCGAGGCTATGACTACAGTGAGAATTCAAGTACACCACTTAAAGGGCTGGAGACGGTAACCCAACAAGCTGACTGCACCTTTCAACACAGGCCTGGTTACTTCAACAGGGACGGGGCAGCTGGACTCCGAGTATAATTGTATCCATCTAAGCAAATCCAGATCATGTCTGTCTTCATGGTTTGCTTCTTCCCAAGAGATGTCAAACCCTCAAGAATTTGATGGTTTCTTTTGCAACTAAAACTGAAAGGAATCTATGTGTTACAACTCAAAGCCTACTTTAGCTAGCCCCTGGAAAAGGGCTAAGTAAAACCTGCCTTCCCCAGGAAGAGGAGAGGCTAATACAGGGTCACTCAAGTATTTTTGTGGTCTAGCTGGATTTAGATGGCTCGTTTTACCACCCTTACAAGATTCTAGGATAGTTGTATGACATCCTAGCTACTAGCTTTCTCAATGATGACTTAATAACATTATGGAGAGATCAACATAGGGGACAATCACCTCGTCCTCTATACTGTGTGTATTTATATCCAAATAATAATGACCTTTTTCTAAAGCATAGATGGTATCCTTGGAGCTGGTAGCAGGTGTTCCTATTCTGTAAGTTTGCTGTACAACAATATAAAGATTGACACTCTTTAGAGTGAAGAGTTTATTTTTTTGTAACAAAATAAAAAGATCTTTACAGCCATAAGACTCCAACTTTTTGTGTTGTTGTTGTTGGAAGGCATAGTAATAAAGATATCTTTGAAAAGAGGCATTCCAATAAAAGTGAACTTAAGTGTACCCAGGAGATGCACCTTCTGTTGAAAGAAAGTTGTCTTCCAAGAAATAACCCTCCACACTATTCCTTGTCATGCTTCAGGAACCACTTCCCTTATTTCTTCAGCTGGGCTCCTTGTACCGCAGAGCTCTTGTGGGCGGCTAGGGGTAGATGGTCCCACCTGAAGAGAAGCTCGTTTCTGGTAGGCCATAGTTCCTAGTACCCCCCCTAGAATTAGCAGTGTTGAGCAGAGTCCCGTGAACAGATACAGATGGGTCATGGAGAAGTAATGATCTGAGGTAACCGGCAACCTGTGAACAGAGAAGGTAATATTTGGCCTGGAATGCTACCTAGGCTAAGGGAGTGACAAACTATCTTTATACGTAGGACCCACAGACTAAGCATTGCGCCAAACAGGAAATCAGTAAGAAGGGATATAGAACCGGAAAGTAGGAATAAGACCAAGATCCAAGTCTTCCAAGCAACTTAAAATTGTTAGAAGGAGACCTGACTACTTGGCAGTGAGGTAAGTGGTTTAAGGAAAGAGACTGGTGGGTAGCTAAACACGATCCCTGGGTAGTACCTCCAAAAGAAGAGGCCTGGGAACCCCATGTCTTAAGGACAGGGAAACTCCACTAAGGGTGTACTGGGAGACTGTCACGTAGTGACGGCCTTGGGATGATCGTGTTAGTTTGGGAACTTTTCTGAAATACGTAGTCCTCACTAGGACAATAGACACAGGAGTGTGCTTATTAAGTGCGGTTCCAGACATCTGGAATAGAGTGATTTGGAAGAAAACGACCTGGAATGTTATCTTACTTGCTGCACTGTGTGGTAAAGCTAGTTCCTCCATGATAGACTTCTAGAGGCTTCTTTTGGAGAGACAGGGTCAGGTCTCTGTGCAGCACATCAGCTGAAGGCCCTTGGCAGCCAGGGGGCTTCCACATGCGCACTGTGAACACCAGGCTGGTGGTAATTGATGGGCTGTGGAAATGGCACCTAAAGGAACGTTTGGATCTGTTAGTGGAGGTATAGCTCCCAGAAGAGTGTTGAAGCAGGTGCGGGCTTAGAGAGTGGGATGAACAGTCTCCAAAGGAGAGTTCTGAAGTCAGGACTTAAACCTTCTCCGTGGCCCCCTGTATAAATACTCAGCCTGAACTGTCCCTTTACCTGCCAGTGCCACCTCTGCTCACCAGAGCCTGCAGTACTGTCTCAGCCAGCTGTTCTCGCTCTTCCTTCCCCAGGGAGTGGCCTGGGGGCCCTGCTAATCCAAAAGACAGTTGGAATAGCAGGTCTTGGGTAGAAAGTCTCACAGGTGGGGAAGTAACAGCATTGGTACTTCTGTTAGTGCGACACAGCCGACCCCGGGGACAGAAGAGAAGACCATGGTACCCAGGTATCTACAAGGAAATATGTGGCAGGGACAGGGTAGACAGCTTCAATTACAAGGAAAAATGTACATTCTATACCACAGTCCTAGACTCAGTGGGTGCTTAGTAAAGAAAAAGAAAAAGCATGCCGGACAGCCATTCAAGCATTTCCCAACCTTTTTGCCCATGTGCCACAGTTACTCCCCTTGTAGTACTTACCTGAATAGCCTTTCCTGGAAGGCAGGGGACCCAAGGTGATCCCTGAACCTGCACATTGTACGCTCCCCTCTGTGTGCACTGATGTAAGTAGCAGCGGCCAGCAAGCGCCACTTCCCTGGGGTAGGAGATCTGGGAGGGCTGCCTGCGCTTGCCCTCAGGGGGCAGTTGTGAAGTGAGGTTGGCAAGGAAGCAGCGGCTCTCAGAATGGTAGATCTCCCCATGGGGATTCTCCACCCCAGTTGGGAATCCATTTTCCTCCTTCCAGCATTCACTCTAAGGGCAGGGCACAAGGTGACAGTGTTTGTCTAAATGGCCTAGAACTTGACTCCCAGGCCCATTCAGTTTCATTTTCTCTCTAGCCTACTCACGCCGTTGGCTAAGGGCTTGTACATCTGGCAGCCTTCCAGCATGGGGTCCGAGGAGCAACGTCCCTTGTCCAGGTGCAGGTAGTGGCAGCCCAGCCCACTGTGTGGCAGGGAAGGCAGAGTGACACTGGGCTCACAGACAGCTGCACAGTCCCCAACCACTCAGCACACAAACCTGCCAGTGCAGAAGAAGTCTGAGGAGCCAGTCCCACAGGTGGTCACTAGGCCAAATTCCAGGCCAGCTCCTGCTTGAAAGAGGGAAAGAGCCCTCAACAAATGGAGCCCCAGACTCAGTTACACTTCAGTGGCAGCTGATCCCTTCCAACCCCTCTTCCCACTTGCCCCAGTGCTGACTTGGATCACGAGGGCCCCTCTAAAGTTCTGTTTCTCACCTCGGCCCCACAATAGCTCCTCTGCAGCACTGTGGTTGACCTGGTACCAGCCTGAGTCTTTGAAGGCAGCGAGAGTGATGGGGTCAAGTCGAGTGCGCTGGGCACCATCAAAGGTGGCAGCCATTATAGAGCCCTGAAGTAGTCTGGCCTCCCAGTGTGAGGACAAAGGGCCCTGCTGGGGAGGGGACAGTTAGCCTGGTCCCTACCTCGTGGCTCTCTTCCATCACCCCCTAGTGGTCTCATTCTCACCTCTTCTTCCAAGGGAACACCTGGAGAAATCCCTGGCACTCCCAAGTGTTTGGCCAGACTGTGGCTCACAGCTGGGGTGATGAGAAGCAACTGTCCCCACTCATCCCGCCTTGTCACTTGTTGCCTTGTGGAACAGTTCTCTGTAACTGAATGCACACAGGGAAGAAGGCAACACGAGGAGAGAATTAGGAAGCCAGGCGGCATTGGGAGCAAGGAGGTCTGGCATGTGGAGTCCCTCAGGTTGACTTTGGAAAGGCCCCTCCCTCGGTCCTCCCAGTTACCATTGAGTCCCAAGGGACAGTCTCGCCATTTCTTGAAGAGCTTTCCAGAGAAGCCCAAGGCGTGGAGCAGTTCATGTAGTGTAGCCTAAAGACAAATGACAGTTGAGTCTGGGGGGAGGGGCTAGATTGGTAGTGGCATTGACCAACCATTGTAGCCCTTCTGCCCAATCAGCCCCTCTAGAGTTTGGGACACCTGTTCCAGTCTCAGGGTTCTTCTGCCTCACAGAAAGTTGGGTGATCTGCCCCCATCCACCCTCCTTTTTGCTTCTCTCCCTGTTCATCATGCAGAAGTCACCATGACGATGTCACTGTGGCTGAGGCTTGGGCTGGTGAGGTGGTGAGCACAGTAGACAATGGTACCAGCAACGGGCCTGTCTTCTGGGTCCAGCTGGCAGTAGGCAGCGTAGGCTATGATAGAGGGCTGTGGATGGTCAAGGGCAAGGATGGGGTGGAGAGGAGGAAAGTGGGTTTACACAGAAGGAATCTTCCTGAAAATACCAAGAAGTGGCTTGGGGGGGGTTTAGACTCCACCCACTCCACCTAGCTTTATCAGCATGACTTGTTACCCCCAAATAAGCCCATATATATGTATATGATATATACATATATATACTATTTATATATATATAAATATATATATATATATTATGTTCCCTACCTCTCCTAAGATTTAAGATTAAGAGGGCAGGGCAGAGAAAAAGAATCTGATTTGAGCCTTACCTCTTGGTGGCACTTGGAAGTGTGGGCAACCCGCACATACAAGAGAAAATCAGTGTTTTGGACCCCAGGCCCATCTGGCTGCACCACATGTGGGGGACCCTGCTCCGGCCACAAGGCGTAACCACGGAGGTGAGCGTCAGGAATCTGGCAGGGAGTGCAGTGTAGTACCCAGCTTAGCAAATGGGCTGGGACTGTGGGAAACTGGGTACTAGGAGTAAGGGAGAGGATCCTGGATCTGTCTTAATGTCATCTAGGCAATGGCTAGAACACAAAGCCCTGCGCTGCCCCCCCCCCCCCCAGGTCTGATTTAATAAGTGTCAGGGTGGTGGAATCCACAGTTAGAAGCATGGCTAGTAGTTCTGATGGGGGTGGTCTTAGATCCCTAGGACTGAGAGCAGCTCTCACCTTTGCCCCCAGGCAAGTCTCTCCTTTGTACCCTGGGTTCAAGAGGCTGCACCTGCCGAGAATGAAGCCTGGTGGTTGGGCTGGAGCCATTGTGGGCATCAGTTCAGAAGTGCACCCACTCAGTGACATGAACTTACCTGTGGTAGTTTGGGGTACCTGGGTCTCCCCAGACAGCAAGGCAGTACTGTTCTGGGTTTCGACTCAGAAGCAGAGGTCCTTGCACTGGAGCGACTTAACAAGACGAGAGGTCAGTTTTACCTGGAGATCTTCGAGTTGCTGTTCTTCACCTGTGTTCACCTTCCCCACCTGACCTCTCTCAGCTCTCAGCCCTCCCTGACTCCTCTTCCCCCACACACCTGCAAGCACACCCTGGATGCGTTGACTGGCCTCTTGCACTGCGTCCAGGGCTCGCAGTCTCCGCCTGGCCCCATCCCCTTCAGGATCCCAAGCTCCATCTGATGTAGGAGCCCCTAAATAGTAGGTTTGGATTCGGAGAGGTTGAGGATCACGGGAGCCAGGGAGAGAGAGGGAGGAAGGGCGGAAGTTTGAAGAAGGCTGGGAGGAAGGGAGCCTGAGCAGGCTCACAGATGTCTGGGTCTCATCGTGGAGGCACCTGCTCGTGGCAGTCCCGAGCAGCAGCAGCAGCAGCGGCGGCGGCGGCGGCGGCATCTGCCTGCTGTTTTTCCCGTGGTCTGCCTTCTGCCTGTCCTCTCCTCCACGTCCCTTCTTTCTGGCTTTCAAACTCTACTATCTCTCCCCTCAGCGCTTGCTTGTTTTTGTCAGGATTAGAGTGTTGTTGACCAAATCACTGAGCCGCAGGCAGAGGGCTGGGGGGTGGGGCTCAAGGGTGAGGCCTCCACGGATTTTTCCCAGGAGGAGCCTGCCCAGTGTGTGCAGGAACCCTCTCCTAACCCTCTCCGTCCTTCATCTGAATTGCCCAGTCTTTCCCACTGGAGCAATCCTTGGAACCTCCTCAGAGCCAAGCAGTCAACCAAAGGTAAACGGAGTCCACATAAGGGACGGAGTGTGTGTGGGCATCTTTGCCTTCACTGAGTGGAGATGGGCAAACCAGACTCCGCCCCTCCCTGGACCCAGCGTCAGAACCGGTGACCCCTCACTAAGCGGCTAGACCTGCGGGCCCCTCCTAGATCTGAGCGGGGCTGTTAGGAGGCACTAGCTGATTGACACCTCCCACTGCTGGGCGAGGTTATAAAGCTTTAGCGGATAAGGAAAATAAACTCTTAAAGTGGATGCTCTTAGGGAGCTCTTGGAAGGCTCTGTTGTCCTTGCTCAGGCTGTGCTTTCACATCCTGTTTCCCTGCTCGGCTGCCCCTCCTCCTGCCCGCCTGGCTAATCCCTACCTTTCCTGTAATTACCGTAGGAAGCCTTCCTTTAGCACCTCCAGCCCAAATTCCACATCTGCCAGAGGGGCCTTCCACCAGAACACTTCCCTTGTAATTGTTGGCCCGGTGGTGGTTCTTGCACACCCAAGCTCCTTTGAAGTAAGCCAGGCTTCTTGTCCGGTGTTTGTGTTCACAGCACTCAGCACAGCCGTTGGGCCTACTGTTTGGTGTGTGGATGAAGGCGCAGAGCCTTGTCCTTTACTGAACTTTTGAAGAAGTGGGGGGAGGGGAGGGGTAAAGGGCTGTGTCCTACAGCAACAAAGCTCATCATGACAGATAAGGACTAGAGTTTAGATAAGGCCTGCTGACTTCCCAGGGAGACTGGGACTGGATTTTTTTTTTTTCTTTTCTATCCTTTTTTTTTTTTTTTTTTTTGACAGGCAGAGTGGACAGTGAGAGACAGAAAGGTCTTCCTTTACCGTTGGTTCACCCTCCAGTGGCTGCCACGGCTGGCACACTGCGGCCAGTGCACCACGCCGATCCGAAGCCAGGAGCCAGGTTCTTCTCCTGGTCTCCCATGCGGGTGCAGGGCCAGAGGACCTGGGCCATCCTCCACTGCACTCCTGGGCCACAGCAGAGAGCTGGCCTGGAAGATGGGCAACTGAGACAGAATCCGGCACCCCGACCGGGACTAGAACCTTGTGTGCTGGTGCCGCAGGTGGAGGATTAGCCTATTGAGCCTCGGTGCCGGCTGACACTGGATTTTAGAACCACAACTGTGGCTGGGAATACTGGCTGTGAGTCAGGCACCCAAAATCTGGAGCCAAACCCCCACTGCTACATTCTGCTATGTTACTTTGGCCAAGTACCTCAGTTTTCCCATATGTGAAATGGGAACGGTTGTACTTAGAGTATCGTTAAAAGAAGTGAGTATTCGTAAGGCATGGAGAACAGTGACTGGTTCATGGTAAATGCTAAGTCAAGGGGCCAGCATTGTGGTGTTGCAAGTTAAGCTGCCACTTGCGGTGCTGGCATCCCACAGGGTGCTGATTCTCGTCTTGGCTGCTGCACTTTGGATCCAGCTCTCTGCTGTGGCCTGGGAAAGCAGTAGAAGATGGCCCAAGTCCTTGGGCCCCTGCACCTGGGTGGGAGACCCAGAGGAGGCTCCTGGCTCCTGGCTTCAGATCAGCCCAGCTCCAGGCATTGCAGCCATTGGGGGAGTGAAACAGCGAATGGAAGACCTTTCTCTCTCTCTCTCTCTCTCTCTCTGCCTCCACCTAACTCTGCCTTTCAAATAAATAAATCTTTTAAAAAATTCTAAGGCAAGCAAAGAATACATACTATATGTACATTTTCAACTCAGAGTACTTCTTTTATTGATGTGTATAATCTTTAGAGAATTCTTTGTTCTAAGACAAACAATCTTTTCTCTAAGTGTCTGAAGCCTACTCTCCCCCACCCTGTCCCCTTCCCCACCCGCCACTCCATTCCTGGTGGAGAAAACTGTCCAGGTTAGGATTTGTGCAATGAATGCCAGGTCTGTTTGCTGTAGGATTTTATGGTCTGGGTCTGCAGCCGTGGGTAATGCTTTGCTGCTCCCTTGTGGTCATAGTAAGAGAGGGTGAATGCCTTTTTTTTTTTTTTTTTTTTTTTTTTTTTTTGACAGGCAGAGTAGACAGTGAGAGAGAGAGACAGAGAGAAAGGTTTTCCTTTACCGTTGGTTCACCCTCCAATGGCTGCTGCGGCCGGCACACCGCGCTGATCTGAAGCCAGGAGCCAGGTGCTTATCCTGGTCTCCCATTTGGGTGCAGGGCCCAAGCACTTGGGCCATCCTCCACTGCACTCCCTGGCCACAGCAGAGAGCTGGCCTGGAAGAGGGGCAACCGGGACAAAATCCAGCGCCCTGACCGGGACTAGAACCCGGTGTGCCGGCGCCGCAAGGCGGAGGATTAGCCTAGTGAGCCGCGGCGCCGGCCGCCTTTTTTTTTTTTTTTAAAGACATTTATTTGAAAAGTGGACCGACAGAAAAGCGGACAGAGAGATCTGCCATCTGCTGATCCACTCCCTAAGCGGCCACAAGGACTGGGGCTGGTTTGGGGTGTAGCTAGAATCTCATCTGGATCTCCCACATGAGTGACAGGGCTGCAAACACCTTCTCCCACTGCCTTCCCAGGTGCTTTAGCAGGGAGCTGGATCAGAAGCAGAGCATCTGGGACTTGAACTGGTGCTCCAGCATGGGTGGCAGGTGGCAGCTTAACCTACACCTACTGGACCCAGGGATTGAGCTGCAATTCATACATTCTAGCAAAAGAATCACAAGGACACTTTCCCCTCTCCCCCACACCCCTCTAAGCAGCTACTGTGCAGCCTCACAGCCCTAACACAACAGCCTCTCATAGAAGTGTCAGTCAGCCACCTCACAAGGATGTATTTCTGAAAGCTTGTGGGAAATGGAATTAAAAGGCAAATTTCTTTTGATGCCAAGAAAAAGTAAAAGCGATATTTTTGAGGGATCTTTAAAAAGTTCATGAAAAATACAGGGACCAGCATTGTGGCACAGTGGGTTAGGCTGCCGCCTGCAACACAAGCATCCCATGTGGGTGCTGGTTTGTGTCCCAGCTATTCCAGTTCCAAGCCAGCTTCCTGCTGATGGCCTGGGAGGGCAGTGAAGGGTGGCTCAAGTGGTTGGGCCCCTGCCACTCATATGGGAGACCTGGAGGAAGCTTCTGGCTCTTGACTTTGGCCTGGCTTAGACCTGGCTATTTAGGCCTTTGGGGGAGTGAACCAGCAAATGAAAGATCTCTGTCTCTCCCCCACTGCCCCCGCCAGCTCTGCCATTCAAGTGAATAAATTTAAAAAAAAATGAGGATTTCAAGATATATTTGCACCAAAATAAGTATCTTTTAATTCCATTTTTCTGTATATTTTTGAAGTACCTTTGTGTTTGTTGAGTACCTGCTGGTAGCCCAACCCAGATGGAGAAGATGCCTAAAAACACACTTTGTGCTGCTTCTGCTAGAATACCCCTTTCCTGCCTTATTTATTTGTTTGAAAATCTGAGAGAGAGAGAGAAAGATCTTCCATCTGCTGTTTCACTCCCCAAATGACTGCAACAGCCAGGTGTGGGCCAAGCCGAAGCCAGGAGCCAAGAACTCCATCCAGGTCTCCCACATGGGTGGCAGGGGCCCAAGCACTATGGGCTGTCTGCTGCTGCTTTTCCAGGTACATTAGCTGGGAGCTGTATGAGAAGTGGAGCAGATGGGACACAAACTGAACTGGTATTCTGATACGGGCTGCTGGCGTCACAGGCAGTGGCAGCTGCTTAACTTGCTACACTTGAATGCTGGCCCCTCTTTTGGCAACTTCATTAGGCGGATATTATTATCCCAGTTTTACAGGTGAGGTGTAGTGAAGTGCAACAGCGTGCATGGGTGGCAGATGGCAGCGTGAGTTTGGAAGCCCTGTTGAGGGGGTCCTGGGCACAGACTTCTGCAGTGCGTGGGTGGAGGGGATAGAAAGTGGTGGTGAGAGGAAGAGAAGGAGCAGGAACAGGAGGTTGAGGAGCGAGGGCGGGGGGAAGAGGAGAGAGTGGGGGAAGGAGAGCATATGGATTTGCCTGAAAGAGTAAGAGTTAGAGTGGCTGGGGAGGAAGGGGCGATGGAGGGTGTGGAGGTCAGAAATGGTGGTGAGCAGTGGGTAGGGCGAGCAGAGCGGTCTCGCCCGGCAGCACCATCATCCACGTGGATGTTCCATCCAGCACTCTGGACCCTTCAAGTCCATCACTCATTCATCTCTAGCATTTTTCTCCTGCAAGCCACTCCCAGGCTCACACCCAGGGCCTTACTGTCGCTGACAACGGCAGCACTTGTGAAATAACAGACTGCGCATCCCACTCTGATACCATCTCCTCTCCTCGCAGCTCATTGGCTCAAATTGGCTCCTTGCAACTGTTTGTCAAGCTCACAAAGGACCCCCTGACCCTGCCTGTCCATCTGTTCCCTCTCTCTGCCTTCTCCTCTCCTGTGAGCCCTTTCTATCCCACCTCCCTGGCCAAGCCCCAGTCCTGGATGCACCCAACATGTGTCTGCTCTGCTCTGCTCTTGGTCCCACACAGCCAAGGGCCCCTGGCAGAAGTTTACCCCAAGGACAGACTGTTGTCACTCCAAGACCGTCATCAACATCAGCACACCCCAGCTGGAATCTCATCAGCCAGCTCCGCCTTCCGCCCTCAGCAGCTAGGAACTCACACCTCCAGATCTGCAGCCTCCCCTTTGAGTTCCCTCTTCTTTCATGATGACAGTGGAAGCCGTGAAACACCTGCTGCAAACCGAGCTGTGTTTGTGCCCTTTGCCCTCTCTTCTCTTTCTCCTTCAAAGAGAGGAAGTGCTCTTCCCTTGAAAAGTCAGTTTCCTCTGATGCTCTGAATCCCACCTGCAGGAGATGAGGCCTTAGCCTCCTCTGTCTCATCCCAAGCATCTGTTCCCGCTCTCAGGCTAGGATGCCCCGCCCCCAGCCTTCTGCCAGGGTGTGAGGAAGGTCTTCTGGGGCACTTGTACATGAACTCTCTCTCTGCTGGGAACCCCTGCTTTTTGCTAGAGAAGTTCCTACTCATGTTCCCCCTCCCAATTTATTTGAAAGGCAGAGAGAAGAGACAGAGACAGAGAGAAAGGTCATCCATCTGCTGGTTCACTCTCCCAAATGGCTGCAACAGTCAGGGCTGGACCAGATCAAGGCCAGGAGCGTGGAACTTCATCTGGGTCTCACGCATGGGTGGCGGGGGAGCAAGCACTTGGGTCATCTGCTGCTGCTTTCTCAGGCTCATTATCAGGGAGCTGGATCAGAACTGGAGCATTCAGGACTGGAATCAGTGCTCATATAGGATGCCAATGTCACAGGCAGCAGCTTAACCAGCTGAACTAAATGCTGGCCCTCTACTTTTATTTTTTTAAGATTTTATTTGAGAGAGCTACAGACAGAGAGGAAGAAACAGGTATTCCATCTGCTGATTCACTCCCCAAATGGCCGCAGTGGCTGGAGCTAGACCAATCCAAAGCCAAGAGCCAGGAGCTGCTTTTGGGTGTCCCATGTGGGTGCAGGGGCCCAAGCATTTGGGCCATCTTCTACTGCTTTCCCAGGCCATAAGCAGAGAGGTGGATCTGAAGAGGAGCAGCTAGGACACGAAATGGACCCATATGGGATGCCAGCACCACAGACAGAGGCTTAGCCTACTATACCACAACACTGGCGCCTGGCCCCCAGCTGTTATTATGTATTTATTTTCCAAGGGTCTTTAACTTTTTTTATATATTTATTTAGTTGATAGGCAGACAGACTTCCCATATGCTGGTTCACTCCCAAAATGCCCACAA